GAAAACAAACATGTCAACTGCCGAAAAGCCGATAAGCAAAAAATAATAAACCTTTTTTATCATTAGCAATGATATTGATGTTTAGTCAAATTAATATTTGGAGTCGGTGCCATAATAATATTGTCTTTGGTGCCATATATGCCTCATAGATCGGAGTACAATTTATTAACAACTTAGGTTAAAAAGATAAAAAAAGGTTTATCATTTTATGCTTTTCAGTTTTTTCGGCGGTTTAATTATTTCGGAATTAATTTACCTATTTTTATTAGAGCATATAAATGCTTTTTTTAATTATTGTCTCCGCCGACACTTCAGTTTCCTATACGCTCCATTCCAATCGTATGAAACAAGTTGCCCTCTATGCAAAGGCGGTGTAACTAGAATCCCACTCGCGACCGGCCACTCACTAAGCATGCTTTAATATAACCTATTTCCACATTTTACTTCGTGCATTTTCTGCAGATGGCGCTATACGGTCTGACTAACCATTACCTACCCTGGTAGTGTTGACGAACTATCGATATGAAAACTATCGACAGTTTACATCGAAAATCATGTACCCTATAATCGATACAACCGATAGTATTGAAACTATCGATACTAAGAACAAGACAATACTATCGAATGAATGCAATACTATAGATACTATGGATACTATTGTAGTTCGTTAATAACAACCTATTGATAGTATCGATACTGCTGCTTTTATCTGCAACAATACTATCGAAAGTATCGATACTAGCCATTATTTTAGACTAAAGTTTGTGAACGACTATAATACCTGAAAATTGTAAATAATACTATTGAAAATTGTTAAACTATCGATAGTATGTTTGCAAATAAAATCGACAGTATCGATACTATCGATAGTTAACAAACTTAACGAACTACAATGCTATCGATAGTATCGATAGTATTTAACTCATCTGATAGTATTGGCTTTTTCTGTGCTATACTATTGATAGTATCGATACTATCGATAAACCGATCGATTTTCATACGATTGGTTGGCAATCGATAGACTATCGATTAATCATCGATAGTCGACTATCGATCGGCAACACTACACCCGGGTGATTTCAACGTTTTATTTGACTTCTTGTTACCCGGCTGCGCAATGCAAGAGCGCGAAGCGCGACGCGCAGTCAGGGTTATGTGTTTAACAGTCTATATATGTATGTTTGTTCCTTTGTGGCACACTAGAGACCAAACGCCTGGACCGATTTTAATGATTCATACATCAATCGATTCGTCTCAATCATGGGAGTGCTACTAAAGATATGATAGTAATCAAAATTCAATATGGGCAACATTAGGAGCCATATTGTGACGAAGTAAAAAAAATAAGTTGACAAAATATGTCGAGTGGGGTATCACTGTCTAGATAATCAAAAATCATATTTAGGTTCCTAACATCATTTTTCATTTTATATGATTGTTTAGGATCTACAACGCTTTAAAGTTATATTAACCACTTACGCTTTTAATTTCAATCTTACGTTTGTATGGATCTTTGTTACTCTTTCACCTAAAAAATACTGAATGGATTTTAATGAAACTTAACAGTAATATAGCTCATATATGATAATTACATATATATAATAATTTATGTAGTTATTGAGTGAATTGGCCAATATATAACAATAAGTGTCACATAAGACGGAAAAAAATCTCCCATCTGCGAGCCATTTTGGCCTGCACTGCAAAAACAATAAAAGTTACATGAATGTAATGTAGAGTGAAAATGTATCTCTTAAATAGTTCTAAAAAAAACCGTGACACCATATATCTATTTTTAATGTGTAAGTCATTACCGCTAAAATAGTGAATCAAAACTAAAATATTATTTGATATCTATTTCCAAAATGCACATTTTGTATTAACAAATCATTTTTTATCAAACAAATACTTTTATCGCTTTTGATATTTAAAGACGATAAACTTTGCTTTTTACACTATGTCATTTCGACAAATATTTAAAAAGTTACAACGATGACAAAGTGATAGCGCGGTGTACTATGTAAAAGAAAAAAAAATGGGGTATTCGCAGTATCTGATCCTATACGAAGTACTAACAATAAAACTGTGATACAGTTCCTTCTTATTAAATGATGAAAAATATATTATCATAATAGGTATTTATGATTATTGAATTTTAATGAAAAACTCAGAATTTTACTGTTTTTCATTTTTTTAACGATATTACTTAATGTTACAAAAAAGGTTTACTTAATATAATGACAAATAACCCATTTTTCGCTAGTAAGTACATACTTATTGGAATCCCTGTATTTATTAATCAGCTCGCGATAATATTGGTTTTGTAATAATTCTGCAAAATTCAAAGTAAATAATGTAGATTTTTATAGGTAAATCACCCCTTTCATCACCCTACGCCTATAAGTATTGCGATGTTGTAGCTAAGAACCAAGTTCCCATCTACTTCTATATGGGAATTCATTATATTCGATTTAGCTATTAGGGCACGGAAGCGCAACAAACAAATTCACTTTCGCATGTATAATATTATATTATACTTACTAGTGATCCACCCGGGCATTCTACGGGCGAAATTTATTTATCGGGATAAAATATAGCCTATGTCACTCGGACAAAATGTTTATTTGATTATATTTGTAAAAGTTACTTAGCATTTGTGCTTAACAGTGATACGTTATTCGGTATTTTTTTAAACAAAAAAAAATTTGGAAAATAATTGCCATGATTGGACTACTACTCTTCATTCGAGCTTTACACTACCAATAAAAAAGGGTCGAACACAAAGTCTTTGACCTGTTAAATGTGAACGCTTTAAAAGAAAACTACAAAGAGAACTATAAATTGATAATAAATGAGATTGCTATGGTGCTCTACCTAACTTTATGAAAATTTTATTATGCGCCTTTAGTTTAATCAAATATTATAAACTTTGCTTTGGTGATTGCATAATTATTTAATTTAGTGATCTAAGGCAATTGCCACCATTGTCCAAAACAACAGACGGGAATTACTGCTTTCTTCAACCTGCGACATAAACGTCATTGATTAGTATTGTAAATAGGGTGATTAAAAACATTTGAAGTTAACTTCTGGCATCTACATATTGGGTTTCTGTGAATTATGTAGGTTTATCAAATTATAAGACTAGGGACTGACACTGAATTTGTGTATATCACAATCTTAGACGTCCGGCATTGACATGATAATGCAGCCACTGCCAATTTTAAATAGTCGACGAATTAAAGTAAATGAATTTTATATTTACTGCTAAACTATTAAAAAAAACATAAACAAAAGATGATTTTTTGAGTAAGTGCTAGTTTACTATAAAATTTACATACATTATAGATATTTATGTAACGACTTGATTTAACTTCACACATTTTTGCGAAAATTGAGGCCCATCTGTAGCCTTGACCCCGCGGGTAGTCGTTATATGTCTTAATAAATCAATCTTTTAGACCGACGCAAGGTACTTAATAATTCCCGCGATATTAATTCCCTTACTGAAGTAACAAGACAACGGTATATACCGTCTTAAAATACTAACTAACTAAAAAGTGTGAAATAAAAAAGGTAAATTTAAAAATCAAAAAAACCCTACTGCTTAATTATACTTCAAATAAAAACTGAAAAGAAAAAAACAAGTCCAGTAGTCTATAATTCTGTTAATAAGGAACAAAGCTACTTTAACAGTCGGGACCCATTAGATATTCAAGAATACATAATATTTTTCAACAGTGGGTCCCGACTGTTAAAGTAGCTTTGTTCCTTATTAACAGAATTATAGACTACTGGACTTGTTTTTTTCTTTTCAGTTTATATTTGAAGTATAATTAAGCAGTCGGGTTTTTTGATTTTTTAAATTTACCTTTTTTTAAGATGTATTCCATTTTGCCGAAAGAAACGCATACCTCAGTGTTTATGTGCGAGTTTTTATGAAATAAGTATGTATGTGTATATGACCATTACAAAAATGTTAATTGTGGTGAAGATTTTATTGTTCTTGAATTTAATTCGTATAGGTCCTCAGCAACTGTTGCTGCAAGATTTTCTATACGATCTATGATGTGTTCAACGGCAAATGGCATCAGCTATCTTTGAAACTGGATTCGTGACACTTAACATCAGGTGATGTGGGGGATTTCGCAGGGCCATGTAAAGAATATCTAAACTGCTTGAACCTAAAGTCCACCACTGATCCACTAATCCACCATTGATCAATGAAATATTTGTATATAAAAAGCCGTCACATGAGAAGCTTGAAGCCCTGACTTAATTCTTTAAAAAAAAGTATTCAAGGATAATTTCAAATAAGTCGGAACATTATATCTAATTGTCAAAATTAAGATGCCTCTTAGGTCAATGAGCTCTGAGTTCTCTCAATTCGTTAAGAGTGTAAAGCGTCAAAAATGTGCTCCAGAATATTTTGAAGTCTGCACAAACTACAGAGGTAAATCACCAATTCTTCTAATTGAGTCATTACTACATACTGAAAGCTTAGAATTTACCTTTTGAACCAGCAGTTTATATAGACTCTATATCGCATACTTTTTACGAATCATTTCATTCTTAATGTTTTGTAGACTTACCAAATACTTTTACCTTTATCACCTTCAATAATTTTTGACGCCCTCCTTGGCGGAGTGGTTTGTACGCCAGGTTTCATGGTGTCGCCGTCTCGAGAGGTCTCGGGTTCGAATCACGGTGGAAGCAGATGTTTGTGTGATGAATACGAGCACTTTTGTACTTCAGGCATGGAGGTGTAATATTTATTTTCTATATAAATATACGTATATGTGTACAGTATATGTATTCTATCCGTTACCCTAGTATCCCATAACACAAGCCTTTCAGTGCTTACTTTGGGGCTAGCCTAATGAGTGTGATTATTGGAAATATTTATTATTATTAAAAATAATATTATTCCATATGTTGTAGTTCCAGCCCGGCGTCGTAAGCAAAAAAATTGTAACCAGTAAAATTTTTAAGAAAAAAAATCCTCTTATGTGTCATGCTGGCATTTATTGTAGTAAAACTTAATTTTGATTTATAAATCAAGTAACTTTATGCATGCTCAATAAAATTATACATTAAAAAATAAAATTTTGTTCAGATTGCACTATAAGAATTTTAATAACTAAGAAATTCAACAAAAATCGTCAACATATTATATGATAGTGTTATATATATGCATATACCATAACTCATAAAAGCAGTTTACTTAGTACAGAGTTCCCCAAACTTTTTTGTGTCGTAGACCCCTTGCTATGTTTTTCCGTGTTGGGTAGACCCCCTACTTACCTGATATTGATTTTTTTTCGCTGAACCCTTGCAGGTTGTCATAGACCCCTAGGGGTCGATATAGACCACTTTGGGAATCACTGACTTGGTACATCAATGAGTACGGCAGAGTTACAAACATTTAATTAAATCATCAAAGTGATAGTATCTGACCTCCCCATTTCAAGAATTAAAGAAGGACGGTTGGTGTCCTAGTGCATAGCAATTTGCTGAAATATGAGCCGCAGTACTATGAATACAACAATATGCGAAAGTTTTCAGTAGTAATTAGTTCTGAATATTCTTTGTAGTTATTCTATGTTATGGCCTATATTTATATTATAGTGGTGTAAAATCATTGCTTCGAATTCCACCCACTCTGATTTATTGGCCCTTGCCTCAATAAGAAAATCTATCTTCTTCGAACCCAATTTTTTTATTGACATTTTCTAATTGGAGTTTTGATGTACATTTATATTCTTATATACTTACGTGATCTAACGTAATTGCGTCGTTATGATGAAAATATTTATTATTCGACATATTCTTGCTATACATTACACATCGTTACATACATCTTGGTTATTGGCTGGAGTCACCCGGTCGAAAGGCTTGAAAAGTGGTTTCGCTCGTTTTGAAAGTAAAATTAGTCAACTTTTTGGAATTCCTTATCCATTTGAATTATTTATGATGTAAGTCACTTCTGATTTGATACGACGATCTTCTGATTATGTATTGTATGCAAGAAACTTGAATGGCCACATTATTATAATATGATGGATTTCATAAAAAGATCATCTCGCAGAATGTTATATAAATAATGGAATAGTGTCAAGGTGAAGCGACCACGACAAGAGACAGCAGAAACCATCACTTTAAATATAAATTGCTGTAGGATCACGAAAGACTGTAATGCATTTTGTATATTTCTTGGCAGTTATTTTATTCCTTCAAAAATGATTTAGATTTAGTCCAGGGATCGAACCTAGAGATAGCGGCCCATCTAAAAACATGTGAGCGATTCGACCACGGTTACCGTAGTTAAAAATGTTTTCTAGTTACTGTTAATTTATCAGGACATTTTCAAGAATAGTCATATTCATCCAGATTAATCCTAAGGTAAGGTAAGAGAACAAACAAGTCATCACGTGGCCCAATTTTGTACCTCAAGTGCAATGCATAAATTTATGTGTAGAAAAATATGCTGAATTCATTTAAAATATAAATGGAATTTGTTGTTCACTTGTATTATATAAAAATGTCGTTAAAACATTTAAATTAATGGCAACTCAGATAATATATTATGGTAAATGTCCACTTTAAATGAATAACAATTAGCTATGAAAATTACGTGAGTTTTGATACAACCAATCACTATCAAGGAAATGATTTTAAGCGTAATAGTATTAGCTGTCATCAGTCAGTTAATGACAATTACGCAATTTTAATTCAGATTTTCAGCAATTTTTATTGAAATTGTTTGAGATTTGGACAAGTAAGTCGTTTTAGCAATAATTTTAGATATTTTTTGAAATAATTTGTACCAAGGTAAAAAAATGGGCAAGACATGAAGAATGTAAAGTTTTCTATTTAAGTTTTAAAATACACTTTCCTTAGGTATTGTTAATGTTTCAATTCAAAATCCTTTCAATATATCGGGAGTCAGACCTTTAAAATATGATCGAAAAAACTTTTTAAAACGATACAAATCTTTATTTTACGTTAAAAAGATAAAAATAAGAAGGAAAATCAACTAATAACTTTGAGTTTTCTTTTACTTTGAACTAGTTTTTGCAAATGACATTTCAAATGAAACACATTCCAAATTATATAGTCTCTATCATGTTTTATTTTTTAACATATAGATAGTTTTCTACACATCCACCTCACATACGCGTCATGCGCTAACTGATATGAGCTCTGTACACCGCGAGCGTCCCGCGCGGCCCCGCGCGTGTGGCCCCGTGGGGCCCGGGGCCCGGGGCGCGGGGCCGCGCGGGGCGGCGCGGACGGGACGGCCCGCGGGCGAGCGAGCCGGGGCGCGGCCGTCGACGAACGGATATAAATAAAAATTCACGTATTAATATAAACTTACACGCTAATTTACAGACAGGGGGGCCGGTGCGGCCCCCCGCATATACACCTATATACACTAACGAACTAGTCTGTACACTGTTATTGCGATGCGTCGGCTATTTACAGGTCGATATGTGGGCGCGCGCGTCAGTCGCGCGGCGGGGGTCGCGCCAGCAGCGCCAGCGGCTGCAGCAGCGCGGCGTGGGTCGCGTGCGCGGCGTGCGTGGCGTGCGTGGCGTGCGTCGCGTGCGTCGCGTGCGCGAGGGGCGGAGGCAGCGAGTGCGCGGCGAGTCCCGGCGGCGGCAGCACCACGCCGCCCGCCTCGCCCGCCGGCGGGTTGATGCGCTTCTCCTGCACCGAGCGAAACCAACACGTTAGCGGCGGCTCTAGGGCGGCGTAGGGAGCGCCGGCGGCGGCGCGCGCGCGGGCCCTCACCTTCTGTCGCCGGTTGCAGAACCAGACGCGCACCACCTCCTTCTCCATGCAGAGCGCGTCGGCGAGCGCGGCGATCTCCTCGCTGGTGGGCTTGGGGTTGTGCACGAAGGCCTTCTCGAGCGCGACGCGCACTCCGGACTCGATGGAGGTGCGCTTCTTGCGGCGCCGCCCCACCGCCTCCGCCAGCCCCGCGCCCAGCCCCGCGCCGCCCGCGCCCGACCCGCCGCCGCCGGCCAGCGACGAGTCCGCGTCCTCCAGCCACTTCTGCAGGAGCGGCTTCAGCTTGCACATGTTTTTGAAGCTCAGGTTGAGAGCCTCGAACCGGGATATCGTCGTCTGCGAGAAGTCGTTCCCGTACAGTTTGCCCATCGCCAGACCGACGTCGCCTTGAGTGAAACCTGCGAAAGACGAGAAGAGAGCGAGTTATATAGATATATATGTCTTAGGATTGAAGAACTCGAGTTGATGACTGAAAAGACTATCTTACATTGTATTAGTATTTTTTCGAATCTGAAGTGGCATATTACCAAAAACTACATTGTTACTCGACAAAAATCATGAAAACTCACTACCTTACATTCGATGAATTATTCTCTGTTTCTGATAACGAAATTTTAATCAGATATATTGCATAACGCCTTTTTGGGTCTTCTGGTAACCGAAATCGAATTAACCCAAGTTCCCGACTGCATAACAACTGCATTAGCAGTCCTCACTACTGCCATCTGCACTTGGCTAAGTGTACTGCTCGATGGTATGTTCATGTACGTAAAACGAGTTCAAAACGCATTTAGCTTTAAATTTGTAGAGGTATATTAATCGTGGTAAAGTAATAAATGCAAGATCCAAATCCCGTCGGACCTTCCTTATTTTCTGATGGACAAAATATGGATAATCGAACAGTATTAGTATGTAATATATATAAGTATACATTTCGCTAACTTGTGCTGTTTGCCAATTCTGAGATATCGGGTGGCATAGGTCCGTGAAAATTTTACACACTTCACTTACAGTCTGAGAACTGATTCTTACGTATGTTGTAGAGAATATTGGTTCTTACTCACAATTTGGACAAGACAAATTATATGGCTTTTGCATCAAAACGTTCATCTCTTCCTGCACCTAACTTTATTATCCAAGCTCAGAATCAGGATTGCCTTGGAATGTCAAATTGGGGGTGTATGTATGATATTGCAGAGTAAGTTAAAGCTTCAGGATCTCGGTGTGATCTGGATTACTCTCACACATGAGGATGAGCATATTAAGGTAACTTCTTACCGTACGAGGAAACTCACGTATATTTTTAAAACCTTACATAATCAACTGGATCCTTTTACACTTAAAACTATATATTCGGTCCTCGCTCAGTCCGTATTATCATACTGTATTACTGCATGGGAAGTGCCAATAATTCCATTTTATTACGTCTTGAACGAGCTCACCGAGGTGACCTGTTAAAAGTTATGACCTGTAAGCCTATCTATGCTTTGTCCAACTTCGCAATTATATGCTTCGCTCCCGCTCAAAGCAGCAAAGGCTCACACATATGGAAATTTAGGTTACAGCGGCGCGCAATACGCATCATAGGCGATGAGGAGGTGACCAAACACCTCGAGCCTCTTCAATTACGCCGTGACGTAGCGTCACTAAGCGCGTTCTATCGCCATGGTACAGGCGAGTGTTCTGAGGAGTTATTCTCTCTTATTCCACCTTCCTCTTTCCTTCAGAGGACCACGCGCGTTGGCTTACGATGTCACCGTCTAACTGTGGCTGCAATTCCAACGCGTACAAAGAAATTTGGTGACTCATTTCTTTGTCGCACTATCCGCAAATGGAATGCTCTGTCCGCTCACGCGTTCCCTCCCTTTTACAATCTGGGATCCTTTAAAAGAGGCGCGAAGAAGCAACATGCAGGCCGGCAGGGTGAGGATGGCCGGTGTGGCAGGTAGAACTGCTGTATCAGCTATCTTCGCGTCTGGACTTCATCTCCACTTAACATCAGGTGGGGTGGAGTCATTTGTCGGAACTATCTATAAAAAAAATGATGTGGTGTCGTGGGACACCAGGTAGGAACGAAGAAAGAGGGAGAAAGAGAAAGGTATTGTACACTACTCGCTTGCGTATGCGACTGTCGCGCCTGCGCACGTCTCATTTAACGGTTTTATTCCACGCATTTTTTTTACGGTTTTACTATCACATTTTTTTCAGTTCGGTCGCGCAGCAAAATCCCTATCCCCTCCAAGCCTGGCGTAAGGAACTTCGTTCCAAAAAAATAATAATAAGTGACTCACCAAGCTTTATCCGGCGCTGCTTGAACGTTTTGGCGAAGTGCTCGAGCTCCTCGAGGTCGGCGGTGTCGTCGGCGGCGGGCTCGAGCGCGCGCGGCTTGTGCGCGTGCGCGTGCAGCGGCGTGTGCGCGTGCGCGTGTCCGTGCGTGTGTGCGTGTCCGTGCGCGTGTGTGTGTGTGTGTGCGTGTGCGTGCGCGTGGTGGTGCGGCGAGCGCGCGCGGCCCGAGCCCGGCGTGTGCGGCGTCAGGAATGCGCCCGCGCCGGGGGGCGTGCGTCGCGGCGACGGAGACCGACCGTCTGACGACCGACCACAACGTTACTAATATATTCAATCATTTATACAGTTCATTACTATTTACATATTTTATTAATACAGAGTGGTATCATCATCATCATCATCATCATCATCATCATCATCATCAGCCTATTAATGTCCCCACTGCTGGGGCACAAGCCTTCCCTATGGATGGAATAGGGAGATTGGGCCAGGACCCACCACGCGGGCCCAGTGTGGTTTGGTGAGTGCTAACGACTGCAGATGCAGCCGGGACCGACGGCTTTACGTGCCTTCCGAAGCACGGAGGAGCTCGAGATAGTAATTTTTGGTCACCCATCCAATGACCGACCACCGCGAAAGTTGCTTAAGTTCAACGATCGCAGCCGAACGCGCTAACCACTTGCGCCATCGAGCTCCTCAACAGAGTGCTGTGCAGTAACATAATATTTACAATGCGGGTAGGACGTTCTCGATGCTAAACCGAGCCCCCTTTCCTAATAAACGAAAAATAAACTCGAATTAGTTACTTCTAGTTTTGAATGACAAATGACATTACAAGGTAATGAACCAAACGCGGAGTAATAAGTCTCAGCTTATTCTTCGTTTATAAATAAGATGTAGGTTTAACAATTATTGATAATCATCATCAGCCTATTTATATCCTCCCTGCTGGGGCACAAACCTTCCCAATTGATGGAATAAGAAGATTGACCAGTTTAGTGGGTGCTAAGGACTAATGAGTTTCAGTTCAACCACCGATTTAACGTGTTTTTATTTTATCGACGTGATTTATATACTTGTCTCCACAAAATTACAGCTCTCTAGTGCTAATAGTCTCCAAGCAAAATCGAAGACGGATAGACAGACAGACATGACGAAACTATAAGGGTTCCTTGTCAGGACTATGAAACTCTAAAAACAAAGCCAACTACTTGCACAATCGTACTCCTCATGTGGCTTATGTAAGAGCGAATGAAAAACAGAGAATAAGAAGCTGACGTATTTAGTTTCAAGTTGGTAACTACTATAACAATTGGAATGGCTGGCACAATAGTTTTCACCCGACTGCGCAATGCAAGAGCGCCAAACGCAACGCGCAGACAGGGTATAGTGTTTCAAAGTCTATATATGTGTGTTTGTTCCTTTGTGGTACACTAGAGACCAAATGCCTAGACTGATTTTGGTAATTCATACATCAATCGATTCGTCTCAATCATGGGAGTGCTACTAAAGAATTCAAAATTCAATATGGGCAAAATTAGGTGTCATATTGGACGAAGTAAAAAAAATAAGTTGACAAAATATGTCAAGTGGGGTATCACTGTATAGATAATCGAAAATCATATTTAGGTTTCTTAAGAAAAAAACAAGTCCAGTAGTCTATAATTCTGTTAAAAGGAACAAAGCTACTTTAACAGTCGGGACCCATTACTGAAAAATATTATGTATTCTTGAATATCTAATGGTTCCCGACTGTTAAAGTAGCTTTGTTCCTCATTAACAGAATTATAGACTAATGGACTTGTTTTTTTCTTTTCAGTTTTTATTTGAAGTATAATTAAGCAGTCGGGTTTTTTGATTGTTTTAAATTTACCTTTTTTGAAAATAATTTTATTTAGATACTTTTCGATCATAGTAGTATATCATAGTTTCGATCTTCGGAATGAAATGAGAAGTAGGATATTTTGAGTGTTAGTTACCTGTGGAGGAGGGCGGGGCGACGGCGGCGCCCGCGCGCGCCTGCAGCTGCTGCAGCTGCTGCGCCGCCGCCTGCGCCACGGCCTGCTGCACCTGCACACGACACCACAAAACTTTAAATCATTTATTCAGGTTAGGCTCTCAAATATGCCATTGGATCCTAAATCTATGGCGGGGAGAGATTATTATTATACCCTTTATTGCATCAAATAGTTCATAACGGAAACTCAAATAGATACCAGGCAAAGGTGGGCTTATCTCTAAAGATATCTCTTCCATCCGACCTAGGTGGTGTTGAAGATTCCAAACATAGCGGGAAATAGAAAGTGCAATAAAAATAAAACTAAGACCTTGTACAGAGAAGATCGGGCAAAAAACTCATATTTCTCCCTGCTTCTTTCACAAACTCATCATTGACAGACTAGACAGACGGACGCATCTGAACTGCACTTCTGTTGCAAAATCAAAGCCTGACTGCAGTTCAGATGCCATTAACAGGCGTTTCATAATACTCTTACTATGCTCTCCTACTGTTAGGAGCACCAGGATATTGAAGGAAGGGTAATCGTTATCCCAGTGCGGGGTAGGGGAACGAGGAGTAAGACAACCTCTTGCTTCTACCAATAGCAAGGCGCTGTAGGAGCTGAAGGATATTTATATAAATATTATTGTTTGCTTGCAGTGGGTGTGGAGTTTTAACAACTGGAAGCAAGCTGTTCATTGGAAATGAGCACTAACTCTAATACGTCATTCTAAATGGCAACGATCGTACGATATGATCTCATAGTGCGATGAAAACAATGTACCTTTTCTCTTGCGACTGCTTACGAGCTGTATAAGGACACTTCTGAAGAAATTATTTTTGTTTGAACTTTTCGCACGACGAGATCGCATCGTGTCATCGTTGTCAATATTAGGAAGCCGCCTAATCCTAATAAGTTAGAATACGATCCGTCTTGACGACTGAAATCCATATGTCTCGAGACTACCATCTGTAATTCATGCTTAGATGGATTGTCTGCATCTGAACTGCATGGGAACTGCTAAACTGCAGTTCTGATAATGGATTTTGCAATTGCAAAATCTAATAAGATTCTGCAGAAATCTACAGTCGTTTGTAAGTTCCAATGCCATTTCTTCGATTGCATTATGATTAATGTTGCAGTTGGTGTGCTGTTCAGATGTTGATTGCGTTAATGCTAAGGTAGTATTCATTATTTAAAATAAAATTATCAAACATTAGACTCGCAAGAGCGAAATTTGCTCTATAAATTATGTCATTGTTCATTATATCCAATAATAATACTATTTATTACACACAACAATGGACATTTATAGCATTAACTTGTAAAATAGAAGAAAGTGTATAAAATATTGTAGTAAATATTAGATACTTTAAAGCCAACTTGCAGCAAATTTGCTAAATCTCGATTAAACTAAAACTAGCTTTAATCCACAGAAACAAGTCAAAACGTCAATGTTAATTTAACATTCTAGTATGGGCTAAAGGACATCGACGAAATCGGCCCTAGCATGCCCAAAAGAATGTCCTTCACTATTATTTTTCTATTATTTTTTTAACTTATTAGCAATTAATCACAGTGAACGGACAAAGTGTTTAAAAAAATAATAAATAAAAGTTCTGTTACTAGATACTACAGTCTGTTCATCCAACTTGGCACTCCATTTTATTGAAAATACAGCATTAAAAATCAACTGATAACTGGATTCAATAGGTTTCAGTCTATAATAACGTTTTATTTTAATAGTTTATTGGCTTCGTGAATATTTTATTAATAAATGGGTGATTCTGTTAAAAAGTTGTGCCAAAATTGTTTACAGGCGACCATAGGTATTTATCAACATAAAAATAGAACTAGGTACCTTAGTTAACAATACTTATTACTAGTATTTATATTATATTTATAAAAAGATTATTTCTGAAATTATGTAAAGATAGTTTATACTCCCATCCCATGTAATATCTGTTTATTTTTATAAAAAATATAATGATAACCAGGTACATACCTAATTACCAATAGTTAAATATAGAAACAGGTAAATGGAAAGACTTTGAACATTTCATTTGAAAAGAAATCTATTATTACTACAGGTACCTAGGTAAAGGTATCATAGGTGCCAACTGACAACGCTCATAAATCAATATGAATATAAGCATTTATTAGTTTTTTTATTAATTGCATTTTATGTTCATTTAATGCATATTATTTAAGTGCTTACATAGAGGTAAACACTAAATCTATTCAGAATATATAAAATGTACATCTTTTACGATTAAGTATAATAATTATAACCTCAAAATCTAATACATTCTGTAGTAGGCCACGGTTCCTCAAGTTGTCCGTATCTCAACAAATGCCTAATTAGAGTTTATAAATGATTCCGAACACAACTAGCATTTTCTCATTGCTGGGCGTTATAGGGCATTCAATGTATGGGGAACGAGCAATGTCCTTTAGTTAGAGATTAGCAAAATTGCTGCAAGTGGACCTTAATCAAGGAAGAAAACTTTATCTTATATACGAGTAGTATACGGAAATGAGACTGAAAATGAGTTGTGTGTTGTTCACCTGCGTGTGCAGCAGTAGGGAGTGCGCGCCGTGCTGTGTGAGCAGCAGGTGCTGCAGCTGCGCCAGCGCATTGCCGGCGCCGACTCCGCCCTGCAACAATGCGTAAACACATAATAGGTAACGTTCAACGTACAAAGCTAAACATTGATGTCCAAATTTTCTGTACGCACTGGTGAACTGTGAACGATGGCTCATAAAATCTTTCGTCATTCAAATGACAGCTTTTGCGTTGCGTTTGTTTAGCTACCGCATTTACAATAGTTAGTGGAACTAATTATGACAGGATTTCCAAACTTAAAACTGAATTCGACAGCAATCTCTTTTGTCTTTATTGAGCACGATGATAAGGATGTACTGTTGTCAAATTAAGTTTAACGTTTCGAGAAGCACGTCAGAGTGAGCCTCATTCTGCCTTGTTCCAAAACGCGGACTTTTAGTTTCGGTTTAACCTAATGTTGTCTTTTTCTACTTTTTAACAAAGAAAGGTAACAGCATCAGTTTTAATCCAGGTTTAACTTTAGTCTACGTTTTCGAATAAGATCGATTGTGCACGGCGACGACGGAATAGAATTATGGCAGCGGCGGCTTGTGTGGTTGGTGGAGTATGGTATGTGATACGTACGAATACGGCGGCGGTGGCGGTGGCGGCGGCGTGCGCGGCGTGCGGCGCGTGCGGTAGAGGGAGGGGCGCGGAGGGGACGGCGGGTGTGATTGGTGGAGTATGGTATGTGATACGTACGAATACGGCGGCGGTGGCGGTGGCGGCGGCGTGCGCGGCGTGCGGCGCGTGCGGTAGAGGGAGGGGCGCGGAGGGGACGGCGGGTGTGATTGGTGGAGTATGGTATGTGATACGTACGAATACGGCGGCGGTGGCGGTGGCGGCGGCGTGCGCGGCGTGCGGCGCGTGCGGTAGAGGGAGGGGCGCGGAGGGGACGGCGGGTGTGATTGGTGGAGTATGGTATGTGATACGTACGAATACGGCGGCGGTGGCGGTGGCGGCGGCGTGCGCGGCGTGCGGCGCGTGCGGTAGAGGGAGGGGCGCGGAGGGGACGGCGGGTGTGATTGGTGGAGTATGGTATGTGATACGTACGAATACGGCGGCGGTGGCGGTGGCGGCGGCGTGCGCGGCGTGCGGCGCGTGCGGTAGAGGGAGGGGCGCGGAGGGGACGGCGGGTGTGATTGGTGGAGTATGGTATGTGATACGTACGAATACGGCGGCGGTGGCGGTGGCGGCGGCGTGCGCGGCGTGCGGCGCGTGCGGTAGAGGGAGGGGCGCGGAGGGGACGGCGGGTGTGATTGGTGGAGTATGGTATGTGATACGTACGAATACGGCGGCGGTGGCGGTGGCGGCGGCGTGCGCGGCGTGCGGCGCGTGCGGTAGAGGGAGGGGCGCGGAGGGGACGGCGGGTGTGATTGGTGGAGTATGGTATGTGATACGTACGAATACGGCGGCGGTGGCGGTGGCGGCGGCGTGCGCGGCGTGCGGCGCGTGCGGTAGAGGGAGGGGCGCGGAGGGGACGGCGGGTGTGATTGGTGGAGTATGGTATGTGATACGTACGAATACGGCGGCGGTGGCGGTGGCGGCGGCGTGCGCGGCGTGCGGCGCGTGCGGTAGAGGGAGGGGCGCGGAGGGGACGGCGGGTGTGATTGGTGGAGTATGGTATGTGATACGTACGAATACGGCGGCGGTGGCGGTGGCGGCGGCGTGCGCGGCGTGCGGCGCGTGCGGTAGAGGGAGGGGCGCGGAGGGGACGGCGGGTGTGATTGGTGGAGTATGGTATGTGATACGTACGAATACGGCGGCGGTGGCGGTGGCGGCGGCGTGCGCGGCGTGCGGCGCGTGCGGTAGAGGGAGGGGCGCGGAGGGGACGGCGGGTGTGATTGGTGGAGTATGGTATGTGATACGTACGAATACGGCGGCGGTGGCGGTGGCGGCGGCGTGCGCGGCGTGCGGCGCGTGCGGTAGAGGGAGGGGCGCGGAGGGGACGGCGGGTGTGATTGGTGGAGTATGGTATGTGATACGTACGAATACGGCGGCGGTGGCGGTGGCGGCGGCGTGCGCGGCGTGCGGCGCGTGCGGTAGAGGGAGGGGCGCGGAGGGGACGGCGGGTGTGATTGGTGGAGTATGGTATGTGATACGTACGAATACGGCGGCGGTGGCGGTGGCGGCGGCGTGCGCGGCGTGCGGCGCGTGCGGTAGAGGGAGGGGCGCGGAGGGGACGGCGGGTGTGATTGGTGGAGTATGGTATGTGATACGTACGAATACGGCGGCGGTGGCGGTGGCGGCGGCGTGCGCGGCGTGCGGCGCGTGCGGTAGAGGGAGGGGCGCGGAGGGCGCGCGCGGGGGGGAGGGCGGCCGCTCGTCGCCGCTCATCTCGCCCTCGCACTCGCCCTCGCCACTCGCCGACCCATCTGCAGATCGCGACATCATTCATATTAATAACTTTAATAACAAGCGGCCCGTTTTGACTTCACACGGGTGTATTAAATACTATGGAAACATGATTAATTTACAATAAAACTTAATATCAGTGAAAGAATTTTCAAAATGGGTGATCAAAGATGAGTCACTCAGTGTATCCGTTTCTCTCTTTATTTTTATTCATGGAAAACAAACGGCATGTCAAAACAAAGCATAAAACAAAATGATGTACCATTGATAAGCCTTACACAAGTACAAATCAAACACAATATACTTCGCCCAATCCACTCACAAGGCCGTGGATTAATATAAATAAAATAAAAATAAAAACATAGAAGTATAAAACTAAGAATAAAGCCATACCCACAGAATAAATGATGATAATCTAAATTAATTTTTATTATTATTATTATATAAAAAAATCTGTTTACAATATTTTTGAAGTAATTTTGTCTCGCCAGAAACTCATCTATATCACTTGAATAAATATTTTTGAAGTTTTGAGTTATTTTATTAAAGTAGGAATTGTGTCTATAATTTGTCTAACATTAATCAGTATGGAATCGCATGTAATTACGTCTGACAACTGTACGGAATAGTACCTGGATTTTAACCAATGATAGCAGCTCATTGCTGTCTATCTTGCCGAGAATTAAGTTGTGGAGAAACGTTGGGTCCGCAGCTTTTCTACGCTTGTTTAATGGAAGAAGATGGTGTCATTGGCAGTCAACAGCATAATTTTCAATTTGTACTTGGACTTAACCTAAATTTGAAGTTGAAAAACCTTAGGAACTTTTTTTGGATCTTTTCTAATTAGTTAATATAATACTAAATATTGGCTATTATATACTCGTAATAGTATTTATATAGTATAGAATAGATACAAATTTATAGATTTATAAAAAAAATACTTATTGGTCATAATTTTCGTCATCGTAATTTGACGACCTCCGTGGCCGAGTGGTTTGTACGCCGGGTTTCATGGTGTCGCCAACTCGAGAGGTCCCGGGTTCGGATCCCGGTGGGGGCACATGTTTGTGTGAGTAACACGATCATTTGTACTCCAGTCATGGATGTTTAATATGTATTTACTATATAAATATACTTATATATGTACAGTATATGTAATCTATCCGTTACCCTAGTATCCCATAATACAAGCCTTATAGTGCTTACTTTGGGGCTAGGCAAATTGGTGTGAGTAAAAAAAAAAAAATTATGTTAAGATTTTATTTATTTTTTAAGCATTTAACTGCTAGATGTTTAAATTATGTTAAGTTTACGGTGTGATATTAATATGTTATAATAAATATGCAAAATATCATATTTTCTTCGATGTAACCCAACACAGTCTATAAAAATGTACGAGTACACATTATCAGCTCATTGTGATTCTAGGCGCTTCACTGCAAATCTCTTGAACACAGTTTTTCACGGGCGGTCCCGGCCGTAGCCCGCCCGGCCCCCGTCCGGGTAACGCGGCGCAACCGCCGGAAATTGAATGCAAATGTGAGCGTTCGACCGCGCGCCCGATCGGCACCCTAATATCTCTAATGTAAACATTGTCTTTTCCGCATACTTCAATGAAGAATAAACTCCTTTTCTACGTATTCGGTCCCTTAGGAGATTTTTAGATGTTTTAATAGTATAGCCTCCTATTATAATTATTATACTACTAATAAAATACTTAGGTAAGTAGGTATATTGGTATAACAACGAATAAGTAAATTTATTTGATTTTTGAGGACAGCAACAACTTTTGTGTTGTTTAGTTAACGGTAGTCAAATTGACTTTTATTTATATACCTTACATTTTTGTAAATGAGAGGTTGCTGGCGACCTCGCCTACACATAAATCGGATTTTCTTACGAACTTCCACACGCTATTTTCATTATTTTTAATAGAAATAATCTTCTTATTACGGTTTATGAGGTACAATTAATGTTTTAGTTCAGGACGAATGGACAGCGAAGGTTTTCTTATCACCGCCTTTCCGTACAGAACCCAAAAATATCTGAATTAATTAGTAAAGAATTAAATTAATTAGCTCGAAATATTATTTTAGATAAGATATGATAATAATTCATTTAGTTTATAAGTTGCTTGTTATAAACACAGCGTATATTCAAAATATTGAAGGCATGCAAAATATTAAATGGTTTTTTTTCTTCGAATTTTAAGTGGTTATGTTTTTAAAAGAAATTATTTTTATTTTTAACCGACTTCAAAAAAAGAGGAGGTTCTGTATTCGACTGTATATTTTCTCCGTCAATTGTGGACAGATTTCTAAAATTCTTTTTTTATTCGAAAGAGTGCACTTTCGAAATGGTCCCACTGGAACTAAGTTAGGATCTGATGGTGGAATCCGGGGAAATCGAGGGAAACCTTCAAAATTCAAAGGCACGCACGATGTTTTTTATGCATGTTCACCGATTTGTCCATTAATTGTGGACCGATTTCCTTAATTATTTTTTTATTCGAAAGAGTTCACTTCCAAGGTAGTCGCATTGGAACCAATTCAGAATCTGATGGTGGAATTCTGCGAAATCGAGGGAAACCTTATAAAAATTATTATTACTCGGACGATGTAATTTTCACGATACTTTGTTTATATGTACACCGATTACTTAAAGATTTCTGGTCCAATTTGAGTGATTCTTCCTTGGTTCAGTGAGAGATACTTGCCGTTTGGTTCCATAAAAAATATTTTGTTTGATCCAGCAGTTTCTATTTAATAAGCATTTTTGTTTATTATTTACTTAAACGATGTAATTTTCACTAAAATGGATGAAATAAAATTTTTTTAAACAAAAAATAAAATCGACTTTTAAAAAGTAAAAAAATAATATCTTTTTCATGATTTGGAAGTCGGGCGGGATCAAAATTGAAACATTAAATAGATTTTCATTTCTGATCGGTAATAATACGTCTTTCAATCTTGACCCGCCCAACATCCAAATCATGAACCAGATATTATTTTTTACTTTTTAGTTCCATTTTTGATTTTGAAGTCGGTTTTATTTTTTGTTATTTTTTTTTATTTTATAAATAGTCATTTGCTTATTCAAGGAGTCCGACGTATACCAAACCCATCTAAATTAAAAAGCTTTAGATATTAATCACGGGGCGCGTGTTATTGACGTTCTGACAGATAAAAGGGGTTGGATTCTTGCACGGAAAATAAATGGTATCGTATAAGCAGTGGCACGGGGAGGACGCGTGAAAAGATTACAGGTTCCGTCGCGAAAGGGTCGCGAAGAAAGAGTTGTCGCGTGTCGGCGCGCGCGCACCTCGATCTAACCCTTACGAGTACCTGCTCCTCTATCAAAAATAAGCTGACGCTTTTGTGATTAATCTCTTCGTTGGATAATAATAGTCTTTTCACTTTCTTAACGCAATCATAATACGCATTTAAAGCGTGCCACAGCTTGGGGTGCTACAACATATTTCACATTACAATATCGAGATAAAAATATCAATAACAATAATCTTTGTTTTCTGGTGTGATATTTTAAAATTGTTACTTCAAGGTATCATAACTTTCTATTTATTTAATTTAACAATAGCTAATTATGCAACGCATTCATTAATTAGGTATTAACGAACACACTTTGGTTCTCTTCGTTGGGTGCAATTAATCTTTGACACTTACGAAACAACCGTGTGTCGTTATAAAATAACAACGGACTTTAAATTTACTTGTCCATTATTAAATACATTAATATTTATACGAAAACGGAAAGTTTGCTGTATTATAATCTATGCCTATTGCAAGGGGTCAAATATCATAATCGTCAGCCTATTAATATCCCCACTGCTGGGGCACAGGCCTTCCCTATGGATGGAATAGGGATATTGGGCCATGACCCACCACGTGGGCTCGGTGCGGATTGGTGGGTGCTAACGACTGCAGATGCAGCCGGGACCGACGGCTTAACGTGCCTTCCGAAGCACGGAGGAGCTCGAGATTGTAATTTTTGGTCACCCATCCAACGCAGCCGAACGCACTAACCACTTGCACCATCGAGCTCCTCAAATATTAAATTAGGGGTCAAATATGCAAAATCCTTTTTGTTAAATTATATGTACGTGATTGGATTGCTGGTTTATGAGACAAAACTTTTAGTTAACGCTAAATATTTTTATCAAAGAAATGTTTTAGAAAGGTATAGTAGCAGAGCTTTTAGCAGGGATGGAAAGTACACCGCTGACTTAGAGAGAAGAGTGGATGCAGGAAATAGAGTGAATTGGGCTTTGGGAAAACTTCTTGGCAGTAAAATCCCAAGTCAGAAGGTAATACCGCGGTGCTCTTCCAACGCTAATTTAGTGAAGCGAGAGTTTAGTAGGTATGTCAGAAAGAGAATGAAAGTAAAATAGACGCAGTCGAGATAATAATATAATAAACGTTTATTGACTTTTAGCAAGTTACAATATTTTTAAATTAATAAGACAAAAATTGGTGACAAGAGGCACATTGGATCTTAAATATTGTTAAAGGTGACTTCTGTTGCCAGTGGTAGGATAACCTGTATTACAGTCAACAGGGTCCCCTCTATGTACGTAAATACTGTGGCCGATTTTGGTGTGCGCACATGATTGTATACTTATATACATATATATATATCATAATCATACAACATAAAAAAATATGCGGAGTGATGCTCGCAGATTGCGTTCGTTTTGCGGAAGTAAGAAAGAGAGTTGGTGTGGAGGACAGTATTGGTGTTAAAATTGACAGAGGCACTCTCCGGACATGTGGAACGAATGTCTGAGAGAACGACGAAACAAATATACGACTGCGATAGTGGAAGGATGTAGAAATCGAGGTCTACCATGATCAAAGTGATCGCATTTTGAAGGAAGATGATGTCAAAGCCGCGTGTATGAAAAGAGTAAAGAATCTAAAGAAAATATAACTAGAAAAAAATCCACGCGGACCAGGCAGCAGACGGGACTCGAACCCGCACCCTTCGCAATAATTGGTCAGTGCATTCGCCCGGATTGGATTTTTGTCTAGTTATATTTTCTTTAGATTTAAACATCAAGCAGTTACATGCTTTAAAAATAATAAAAATTATAACTATAATTGCTATTTCTTCTTTCAAATGTTTAATACTTGTAAAAGTATTCATTTGACATTGTGGGTTTACCTATAATGCGAAGAGATGGCGCTGCCTTGCAGCTTAAGAATAGCTAGAAAGAATTTCGACGCGGTCCGTGAGGGCCGCGGTAGCATAATTGGTCAGTGCATTCGCCCGGATTGCGAAGGGTGCGGGTTCGAGTCCCGTCTGCTGCCTGGTCCGCGTGGATTTTTTTTCTAGTTATATTTTCTTTAGATTTAAACATCAAGCAGTTACATGCTTTAAAAATAATAAAAATTATAAGAGTAAAGAATGTTTAATAATATTTATTTTTTTGTCAGTAACATAATTAATATATTTTTGTGTAACAGTAATAATGAATATGACAATATATTTTTCTAAATTTTATTCTACCATTTTGTCGGCGTGATTGATAAACATATCTCTATAAAATTACAGCTTTCCAGTGCTAACAGTCTCCAAGCAAAACCTGGGACGGACAGACAGACAGACGAAACTATAAGTTTAATTGTCAGGACTACAGAACCCTAAGAAAACAACATTGTCATCAGATTATGTATATTCAGTAATCGGAGTATATTTGCCGATTTATTATACATACCTCTAATTAATATTTCTGTTAAGATTTTTTTTAAGTATTCTACAATTTTCTACACTATTAAACAACACCAGTTTTATACCAGCTAAAGTTAACCTTTATTCTGTTAAGGTGAATGATATCACATATACTATGAAATGTATTAATACTATATTTGGCAGCATTTATTGATACGATCGAGTGTCCAAAGTTTCAATACTTCAGTGTAAACAGTTTCCCAGAAAATTAGTTATCAACTAAATATATATATTTACTATATTTATAACGATCCCAACGAAATCTATACTAACAATACCAATATTAGAAATGCAAAAATTTGTCTCAATGCCTATCTTTCTGTCTGTTACCTCTTCACGCTTAAAGTAATAAATCGATTTAGATGAAATTTGGTATGTACATAGAGTCCCGGCAAAGGACATAGGATAGGATATTTATTCCAAAAAATATCCTTTAAGGGGTGGAAGTTTGTATGGGAAATCACCAGCTAATATGAGAATAAATAAATAGGGTGTTGTTTCTATACTTTTGGAGGATCTGTACCCAAAGGGTGACAATGGAATCCTATAAAAATACTGAGCCGCCACTGTCTGCGTGTCAGCAGTGGTTCATGAACCGTAACTTTGTACAATGTTTCACATAAACAACTACTTTCTAGACTAGAACACTACGGTGTTAGAGGTCCTCCATTGAGTTGGCTAAAGTCATACTTGCAAAATAGGGTTTAGAGAGTAGAAGTACTTTCTGTTAACAAATTTATTACTAAACAAGTACAGCACTCGGAATTTAAGACAATTAGTTTGGATGTCCCTCAGGGCAGTGTGCTCGGGCCCATGTTATTTCTTGTTTATATAAATGATTTACCTGACTTCACTAACCAAAAAACAGTTTTATTTGCGGATGACGTCTCCGTACTAGTCACAACAAGTAAACAACAAACATTTGAGCAACATATACATGATATAAAAACAAATCTAAAGCAAATATGATAAAATAATGTAAAAAATATTTGATCTTAACGAATATATTAAACATCGCCGGAGTAATCCTATCAAACCCTAATAAGGTAACATTCTTAGGCCTTGGAATAAACTCGAAGCTGAACTGGAAAGAACATAAGAATAACGTTTGTGACAAGATCAACAGATTTGCATTCGCACTGTACAAATTGACAAGAGTCCCAAATAGAAGTACTGCCATTACAGCGTAATATGCATATGTTCAGTCAGTACTCAGATATGGCTTGTTATTATGGGGAAATACCGCTGACATTAGCAAAGTTTTAGGCAAAACCAGCCATATGATGTAAACCCTATTTCCAAAACCTAAAAAAATATGACTCTTGCTTGTCTTTATGTGCTAGAAATTGCGAAGTTTGTTGGAAACAATGGTCATTTGTTCTTACAATCAAACAAGTGTCTGTCTGAAGTCTAAGATATCCCCACAAACTTGTTCTTGATACAAATCTAAGCGTTTCTTAAAAAATGTTATGCAATGAGTAATGTAGTATACAATAAAATACCTTATGACATAAAAACCTCCCATTTGACATGTTTCTCAAATTCTCATTACAAAGAATATACTATTGACGAATATTCAAATTACAAATGACATCAATAATATTCCTTATCAAATGAATTGATGCATGTATAAGTTTTGATTTATTATCCTATTGAATATTAAAGTATAAAATTTTATTTTTTCTGGATTATTCATGTAATTGTAATTTTATTTTATTTTTTACAAATATAAATGGAAATGTTCCTTTTTTAGATTGGATTATATGATGATATGGCTAAATAGGGTTAAAGATGCCTTTATATTTTTGTTAACATCAATGTATCCACCCTGTTTAATGGCAAATAATTTAATTTGAATTTGAATGATACGGAACTCTGCGTGTGCGAGTACGACTCCCACTTGACCGGTTTTCTTCATATCATGAAGTAACTTAACGCAAGTTTAAAAATTGTTGTAAATTCATTGGTGGCACCTATTCAGGTTGTAAATATAGATACGTTTTTGTTTCTGTACCTATTATATTTTTAACGGTCAATTATTTTCATTTTGTATTAGTCGACAATTTTGAAATTTGTTGGTTGATCACCATAACATGATGGTTTATGTTTTGTTTTTGAAGTTATACTTCTTTAGGCGCGTTATGAAAAAATGATGAGAGTGAAATTTTAAGATGCGCGCGCAGCACTGTAAAATAAAATTTTAACAGCATGAAGTTGGTCGCTTTAGCTACCAACAAAATAGAAATAGAATCTCTATTTAGTGGGTGCTAACGACTGCATTGTGAAGGCCTATCAAAAGTATTTATTAATCTGGAACATCGGAACCAAAGCGCGATTCAGGAGGCTACAGCGCCATCTCTTGACCATTGGTGTAGTAGAACCAAAAACCACATCTTTATTTTTTGTAATAAAGTAACAGTTATAGGTATTCATGTTTATAATATTTATCCACATGTTTCTAGTTTCCTTTTGTCTTCTGTGTCCTTTTCCAGACTTTTTATTAATTTATTGTAAATAATTATTTGCATGTAATTAAAAACTAATTTTAAACGATGCGAAAGAAGGATAACTTCTCACGCGCCTACATAAGTACACGCACCCATTTTTTTTTTCGTTTAACAAACAGCGGGCATATTGCATTCTCTACCTGTCAGTCAGTTACGGAGAAATTACGAAAGTAAAGTAAATAATCAGATGAAATGAAAAAAAAAAAGCTAATTCATATAAAGATTAATTATTAAAAATTCTAACTTACATATCTACATAATAATACACAGATAAGGCAAACAAATACACCGTGAATTTTGAGTTACCTAATACGTTGTTTGAATCAACTAGTAAAGTTTCTCAGGTAACTCAAAGATGTATTCAATTAGAACATATAAATACAAACATTAATAAATTAATTCGGTTGGTCGACGTCACAGGAGACCGAAGAGCTGGCAGCTACTTCGGACAAAGAATTAGTCTAGCTATTCAAAGGGGGAACGCTGCCAGTATATTTGGAACCTTCCCTATAGGGACTCCTTTTAGTGATGTATTTTAGTTATATTTTAAGGTTTTTTTTAGTTTTAGTTATTACGTTATATTTTTGGAGGTTCTTATGTTAAGGTTCATTGTTCCTGTATATATATATATATATATGTATTAAAGGTTCCTTATATTTATGATTTTATTTATTTTTAAGCATTTAACTGCTAGATGTTTAAATCTAAAGAAAAGTTTACTAGAAAAAAATCCACGCGGACCAGGCAGCGGACGGGACTCGAATCCTTCGCAATCCGGGCGAATGCACTGACCATTATGCTACCACGGCCCTATTAGCCGCGTCGAAATTTTCCTAGCGTTAAGCTGCAAAAATAAATAAAATCGTAACTATAATTGCTATTTCTTCTTTCAAATGTTTAATACTTGAAAAAGTATTCATTTGACATTGTGGGTTATCTACAATGCGAAGAGATGGCGCTGCCTTGCAGCTTAACTCTAGGAAAATTTCGACGCGGCTAATAGGGCCGTGGTAGCATAATGGTCAGTGCATTCGCCCGGATTGCGAAGGATGCGGGTTCGAGTCCCGTCCGCTGCCTGGTCCGCGTGGATTTTTTTCTAGTAAACTTTTCTTTAGATTTCCTTATATTTTTTATACGGTAAAATAAAATATTACTATGTTTCGTCCTAATACAAAAACAAATGTAAACAATAAATATTCAATATTTATGTCGGACTGACTAAAAGATTTAAGGGCAATTTTTCCTTAGATATCAAAAATAATAATGTAGACTCATTGTAATCATCTGTACGATCCCGTAAGGATCGTAAATAAATACGTAAATGCGTCGTGCATAGAACTCACCGTGGCTCGGCGGCGGCGATGGCGACTTTATTAACTCGCCAGACTCTTCTGAAACAAACGATATTACAGTTCAGTGACTTAAGTATCTTAGATATGTATAGGCAATAGGAGAATTCACTGTCTTACTACAAAAAAGACACTGTTTCAAACCTTTATTTGGGCAAATTTTGTATATTATTTTTTCTTAAGCTCGCGTTGAACGCATGTCCAACTTTTATGTGTCAAGTGCGGCGCTCAGCCAAGACATTACTGTCCAACGTTAACTGAAAAAGATGGTGCCTTAGAGTCGCGGAGCGTCTAACAAACAAATTTAGTAATTAGCATCGTCGGCACAAGCGGCGGGTATCATCCCGGATTAAGGGAAGACTTTGATGTCGTGGTGGACGGTGCGCGGTGGCGGTTTCAGGCCGGAATTGGGTTAATTTGAATGACAAGTATCGGGCGGCCAGTAACGAGCTTAGCTAATTAATCGGATGATCCGCGTAATCGAGGAGTTGCAGGTGCTCCGACACCTCGCGCCGCGACACCACGCACCGCTTAAACGACCAAGGACGGATGTTCACTCCACACAAATGTAATGTGAGTAATTAGTGGTATATTTTAACAGGCTCAATTCAATTTTATGTATAAACTAGCGGACCCGACAGACGTTGTCCTGTCTACACGTCTTTAATTTGAAAATTTCAAACTTTTTTTAATAAGCTAAAACATTCTGGACCATTTTGATGAAAATTACCATTCTCAGATCCCCTTGAACACACACAAAAAAATTCATCAAAATCGGTCCAGTCGTTTAAGAGAAGTTCAGTGACATACACACTCACAGAAGAATTATATATATAAAGATTTGACACTGCGATGGTAGCGCCGTCTGTCGGATCCAATGTAAAACATTCCAAAATCAACAACTACTAATAAATTAAAAATTAATTAAAAAAACATTGTCCAGCGGACAAAATTGTGAATCTAAACCATTCTCAGATCCCCTTGAACACACGCAAAAAATTTCATCAAAATCGGTCCAGTCGTTTAAGAGAAGTTCAGTGACATACACACTCACAGAAGAATTATATATATAAAGATAAGTAACATGGCAAATATTAAACTAAAACTACACTAAAACTAGACAAATACACTAAATATACTACTGCGGATTGACGGGTGCTAACGACTGCAGATGCAGCCGGGACCAACGGCTTAACGTGCCTTCCGAAGCACGGAGGAGCTCGAGATAGTAAATTGTTGGTCACCCATCCAATGACCGACCACTGCGAAAGTTGCTTAACTTCAACGACCGCAGCCGAACGCGCTAACCACTTGCGCTCGAGATAGTAAATTGTTGGTCACCCATCCAATGACCGACCACTGCGAAAGTTGCTTAACTTCAACGACCGCAGCCGAACGCGCTAACCACTTGCGCTCGAGATAGTAAATTTTTGGTCACCCATCCAATGACCGACCACTGCGAAAGTTGCTTAACTTCAACGATCGCAGCCGAACGCGCTAACCACTTGCGCTCGAGATAGTAAATTTTTGGTCACCCATCCAATGACCGACCACTGCGAAAGTTGCTTAACTTCAACGATCGCAGCCGAACGCGCTAGTAGAAAACTAGTACATTTGAAGCAAAATTGTTGAGATTGCACACAAAAAGTATTCGCTACGAACGCATCTACGAGAATGCTACGAGGTGCTACGGAGGATAATCCAGGTTGAAGAAAAAATGTATCTTTTTTACAGTGAATATTGTTAAGTTTGATTGACAACGGAGTAAGTAATGCATTGAAGGGCGATTTGACTAGACGTTTGAGTACGCGAGATGCGTGGGAGCGGTGCTTTTCGTCATTCGGTAACAAAAACCGGACAAAAATCACAGAAAAAAGGGATTAACAAAAACCGGACAAAAATCACAGAAAAAAAGGACTATACGCAACTATTCTTTGAGATTTCCCAAATAATCCGTCTTAATATGTGATTCAATATCATTAAAAGTTATAGTTTTGTTCTAATATTAACTTATTTAAAGGCAATTTTATGTTGAATATGTATTTAATTGTTCCTTTTTTGTCAGTAACGAAATAAATTTGCTAACGTTTAGACGCTCATGAACGATATAAATTAATGTTAAAATCAAATATTTATTGGCAATATGAAAAATATGGCTATTATAGAATCATCGTGTCCAACCAGTTTGATTTTTATTAACAGTTATGTTCTTTTTAAATATATTAATGTATGCAAATTCAAAATGTTTTATATGATATGATAATATAATAATCATCGATTTTTGTACCTAATGTAATTATGCGGTTCGTTACAATTGAAATATGTATTTATTTCCGAGTCACGTATCTTAACATATTTGTAATAATATTTTATCTGATTTGATATGATAATAGTATTGATAATGAAATAATTTATTTTTAGAAAAATAATAAACCTTAATGAGATATACATTATGGTAATTAAAAGAGGTAAATAATTACCTGGTGGACAAAGTAGCTTTTTAAATCGCGAATATCCAAATGTGGCTCTTAAAAAAATCATGATGTACAGTAAAAAGCGACTCGCTTTGTGCGCAGGATTCACGCGATTATTGAAACGTCATCGCGGCACAGAGAGATATTTTTTTGCATCCATTTATTTATTCACAAAAAGGGTACAGACGGAGGAATAATATTGACGCGGATCAAATATGTTTTATTTTTTGCGTTTAAAAAAGTGCTTTTGTCCCTTTTTTCATGCCGGTGTGCAATGTTGAATACGCACTCGCATAGATTCGGATGTATCAATTTTGAATGTCGGCTTTTAGCATGGGAGCTTTATCGAAATATTTAAAAGTTTCGCAAATTATGTTTTTTACTGCGCAAATCCTTTTGGATCAGTAAAAATACTGTTCATTATTGAAAAAAGCAAAGTATTGCTTCTGTTCTAAAAACTTTGGGAGTTGCTTCGTATAAACTTTGTCATAGGCCTGACGTATATTGAGCTTCTCTAATTTTTTTTTTAATAGATAGGTCCGGAAAATGACTCCACCCCACATGATGTTAAGTGTCGGTGAAGTCTTGACGTGAGGATAGATGATACAGCAGTTCTACCGGCCACACTATCTTACCCTGCCGGCCTGCATGTTGCTTCTTCACGCCTCTTTTAAAGGATCCCAGGTTGTAAGAGGGAGGGAACACGTGAGCGGGCAGAGCATTCCATTTACGGATAGTGCGACAAAGAAATGAGTCATCAAACGTCTTTGTATGCGTTGGATAATCCAGTTGTTGTTTATAAACGCATAGTTTGAGCCAAATTCAAGTCAAATCGCCCGCGCTAAACAATAAGTAGACGGATCTTTGATACTCTGTCAACTGTGTAAGCAAATATAACCTGTCTTTTTACACAAAGCATATTATATGTTATACTTTTTGTGGCTCTGAAAAGTTTCCCAGTTGCAGCAAAAAAATCCACACGGACCAGGTACAGACGGGACTCGAATCTGCACCCTTCGCTAACCGGGCAAATGCACTAACCCTTATGCTACCGCGGTCCTGATGTCTTATTGAATTTTCTCTAGTACTTCTTAGACTGCAAGGGAGTGCCATCCTTTTGCATCGTAGGTAACCCTCAATGTCAAGTGAATACCTTTACAAGTACTAAACATTTCAAAGAAGATATAGCAATTATATTTTTACTTTTGTAAGCATTTAACTGCTAGATGTATAAATCTAAAATAAGATGTTTTTTTACTAAATACATTTTCCCATTGACTCACTGTTCAATAGTTTTGGAAAAAAATATTTCCAGGTGATCGTTTTATGTGCGTCAGCAGTATCAACATCATTATGTAAATTTCGTGTATAGGTATGCAAAATTACAATTTTCAAATATTACTTCCTTATCATTATGACTAATTAATTAATAGCAAATAATTACTAATGATAAACGTAAACATGATTGTTTCAGATAATAATGCGGACAGTTATTATAATGCCCATTTTAATTAAAAAATATCGAATTAGATGATTACGAAATAAAAGATTGAAAGTATTCAACAAATACTGAATAATTAATGACATTCAAATATGATTAATTGTATTTTTAATGTAGTAACAATTAGCACTTCATGTATGCATATTAAGTAGGCACTAATAATTCTTCATAATAGTATTGAAATTCCATTGTTATTACTATGATTGAGTACAATTACATGCAAATTAACACATTGTTATTAAAGTGATATCATGAGTGATTTTCAAGTTGAACAAATATAATGTAAACCAACAAGTGAAGGATGAAACAATATTAAATAAAAAAAATATAAATTAATTTACTGAAGTCATTCTATAGTAGAAGTCTTGTAGAGAGAAGTTAATACGAAAAAAAATGAAATGGTCAACAAACAAATTTAATTGATTGATTCTCAAAAGAACATAACCAACCCTTTATTTACTTATAAAATAAAACAAAGGTTTATCGACTTTTATAGAGAAGTTAAAAGGCAATCACTTATCAAACAGATGTAAACATTCATTTGACAATTAAAAATTTGTAAAGAGAAGTTGAAAGACTAAAAAAGAAAAACAAAATTTTTGGTTCTAAACAGTTCAATCATTACAAAGCGCCGTTCATGAAATTTAATATAAATGCGTGGATTGCTAGAAAAAGTTGTAGAACTTAATTAAACATTTCAGAATTTTCATTTGCAGGGAAATCAAATTGGAAATGTTGTATAAACACTACTCACGGTAGGAGGAACAGTAAGGGCGCGAGGAGGCGCGCACGCACGCAGATAGCACCATGCTCATGAGTGGAGATTGCAGATTCGCGGCGGGACGCGGCAGGCAGTAGGCAGCAGGCAGGCGTGCTCGCGGCTATAGGCTGGGAGCGGTCGCGAACGATAAGCTAGGCCGGGAGCGAGCGAGAGTTGCGCGCGGGTCGGCGCGCCGGCATACACTGCAGGAGCAGGCTGTGCTGCCAGTACCGCGAGCGCCGCCGCCCCGCGAGCCCCCCTCCCACCCCCCTCACCGCCTGCCCCCCCGACCCCTGCCCCGCCGCGCCCCGCGACGGACGAATTAAAAATTTCGGAACTTTTTGTACGAATCCGTTTCTTTTTCCGCCCTTAGCGTGAATTTTTTTCGCGCGACCTCGCCATTATTTCGATTACCTGAGATGATTTTTTCTACGCTCTCGCCGAACGCATCGAGCGCGCGATGCGCGTTTAAAAGCTGTTTAACTTTTTTTCTTTCGTTAGGCAAAGGGGAACGGCGACGGGTTCGGCTAACCGATGCGCGAATTCCGATATCGGGTTTGATTGAAAAAAAAAGGTTCGCTCCGAAATCATTGTGAGCGTGTGCCGAGAGTCGTTACAGCGTTATTATCTAACAAAGAACACAAACGAACAGCCCAGTGTTTTCGACTGGCTTCCTCGCGTCTTCCAGCGACACCTCCTTGCAGCATCTTCCTTAGGTATCCGAAACGGACGCCGCAGATACGTGTTTTACATAAAAGTTGTCTTAAAAAGTATCAATCGAGCTCATCTCTGTAATTTCAATGAAGAACCGGCCCGACGACATGAAATAATTATGTTAATCGATTGAAATGAATGAGAATACGGAGAAAACTCATTTTGAATACGAGGCAAAACGAGAAATGCCGGCCTCCGCCTCGTTTACTGCGCACGAATAACCAGAAACGTTTACACAAATAAAAGAATAACCCGTGTTCTGTACGACGCGACTCATCATAGTTTTGTCAAGCGTTATAATGATATGTGTTCGGCGGCAGAATTTTAAGGAACAGAACAAAAACTGAGAATATTTGATTAACTTAAGTATGTTATGTTGAGAAGTTTTAGTGGGAGCTCTAATATCTTATTAGTAGACAAAATACAGTGATAAACTATATGTTTTGTAACAGTGCGGTGTAGTTGCGACCGTCCACATTCCAGGAATCTTCCATATTCAACCTGTTTCGGCTACTTCTAATTCCAATTCATGATTTACTTAACATTAAGCGTAACATTCAGATAACAATTCCTTCCCTGAAAACACAGGAATGTTAGTAGGAATGAATCATTGATTCAAAATAAAGAAAAGAGAAAAAAATATGGAGACTCATCAAGCTTATTTTGGATTTATTGAACCTAGATTCTCTACGCTCGCTGACTAACTGGCGTAGTATGTTAAAGATAATATTCTAAAGAAAATAAGAAAAAGGATGGATTTACTGAAAGAATCTATTCATGCCTCAATATACATTTTGAAACGAAAACATTTTGAATCGATGCATTTACATTAAGGAAATCTTTACTCGTATTCAAGCTCTGGGTTGAGTGATAAACTTGAGATAAAATGCGGGACAGATTTTCTTTGTGTGTAAGGGTCAGGAGGTCCTTGAATGGAGACGGACCCTCCGCATATAGTGGACACCGCTCGCTTCGCTCGCTTAGAAGTTTGTTCCCTGCGCTTACCGACGCGGGCATACGACTCGCGTCGCGTCACATTTCACATTAGGCCGAGGCGCAGGGAAAGTTTTGCTTGATGTGATGGGGAGTATCTCAAGAGTTGTAACTAAACAACTGATGGTCAGGTCTCTACGATAATGGATTGAAGAAAAATAAACTGCGTTTAGTATATTTGATGTTGGGGAGATCATTTAAATGTTTTTAGGAGGTTTTTTATTGTAATACGAAACGACGAATAAACTTAATTAGTTTGTAAAACGACGATTATGTAATTAATATAATTATTATAAAACTGCTAGAATAAGCTTGAAAAAGACAGATTTGAATGTTTTTATGATTTCAGTCATTTCCTATCTACTTCTTACTCACACACCTCACTCGCGTTTTATAGACATGAAATAAAGCTGAAATTCAATCATATTATAATAAAGTTTAAAGCTAATCATGTTTAAGCCTCGTTTCATCTCTATTTAAAACTAATCTAATCAAGAACTAAATCATGAATCATAGACATAATCTTTATAATTTGTTTTGGAAGGAAACCATAGAAAAAATTATTACTGTTGAGTTGCACATTTAAGTAGGTATATTTAAATTTATTTTAATCATTTTGTGTAATCTTGGCTTATTATTATTTTTTTCTCTGGAGGTAGGCAGCTTCTAATGTACACATGTTTTATGTAATGTCTTTTTTCGTTAATAAAGAATTATTATTATTATTTGGCTTCGAACATTTGACAAAGATGGTATTATCTTTTAAACAGGATCAAACTTTCATATGCATTAAAAAAATAGTAAAATATAGCTTTTGACTATTATAACTATTTATAATTTGCTCACTGTACATTCTGCAGGGGAGGGAGAGTCCTGGTGCTCTGAGATACAGGCTTTCTGCCATGTTCAGGCACCAGTCTCTCACAATCTATTTTATTGTTCTTATATAAAATAATAGTATCATAAGTTGTTATGTGATTTTTAGATTGTGGAAGACCAAAAAAGATTATTATTATTAGTATCAATCTGTTTTAAACGAGTTGATTTTCCAGGCTAATTTTCATTCTCCTTAAATTAATTGAACATCCGAGATTTAATCTTCCCAAACAAAATTTATTTTTTACTCGAACACGAGTTGTAATATAAGTACTCATAACAAGTGTTTCTAAGAACCAAATACATATTAACAATAAAATATTGCCACACAATATTTGAGAAATCCAATTATCAGTAATGTAATAATATGTTTACTTTAATTCCTAAGTTTTAGTCATCAATGTTATTAATATTTCGTAAAAATAAAGAGTTATATTAACAGATGCATAAGCAATTAAGGCTCGAGCTTGAGGAGCTCGATGGCGCAAGTGATTAGCGCGTTCGGCTGCGATCGTTGAACTTAAGCAACTTTCGCAGTGGTCGGTCATTGGATGGGTGACCAAAAATTACTACCTCGAGCTCCTCCTCCGTGCTTCGGAAGGCACGTTAAGCCGTTGGTCCCGGCTGCATCTGCAGTCGTTAGCACCCACCAATCCGCACTGGGCCCGCGTGGTGGGTCATGGCCCAATCTCCCTATTCCATCCATAGGGAAGGCCTGTGCCCCAGCAGTGGGGACATTAATAGGCTGATGATAATGATGATATCAACCAATCCTAGTAGCGGTGCTAAATGCGTACAAACTTTGCGTGGACTCTTCTGATGTGTGTATATTTTGAAAAAAATAACATCCGAAACAAAATATTTGTTTTACGTGTTATGCAAACTTATAACAACCGTATACTTTCCGTGGCAGCTTCCCCTTCCACAACCAAATGTTGGAACGATTTGCCTCCAACTATGAGAAAAGTGTCTTCCAAAGTCACTTTTAAAAAGCAGATAAAAATATACTTTTTAGAAATCCAAAAATTAGACATCCCCAAGTTTTATGTGTGGCAGGGTAGGTAGCCACGTTTAGCAAACAGTTATTGGGTAAATAGTAAAATCATGTGTAATTATAGTTGTTATAATATATATGTATGATATCATCTAATTTTATCTCGCCAACAATCACTTCAGTATTTGACTCTATAATGTAGTTATTCTGTGCTTGTCTCCACTGCATTGTCATGGCTGTTTTATCTTTTCTCCTTGCAAAATCTTTCAATGTTTATTATACAAAGCTAATCTACTCACTCAAAAAGGTGATGGCTGAAAATCGGTGTTTGCCTTAAAACTGGCAAATATTTAGCCGAGCCTTGGCCTTTTGTTTTCTGCAGCATACATATGGGTATTCATAGCCGATTGCTTGTGTCTTTTCATTTTTATTTTTAATTGTATTACTCTGAAATGTATATGTATGTTGAGGGAAAAAATAAACGCATTATCTATCTATCTATCTACTATAACTTCAAGCTTATACGAATTCGTAAGGAGAGGTGAGTAAAGGGCTTGGTAAGTGCGTTTGAGCTGGAATAGCCTGATCGCTTAGCAATGAGAGGTCGCGGTCAGCGGCGCCTCTTTGTGATGGTAATGCGTAACGTTTGAGCGCGGGCCGCGATTAAACTTTAACTGGACCTCTTTCTACTTCGTCCGTTTCCCGTTTCCCGGCCTCTCCCGAGCTCATGCATGGCGATGGCCCCGCTGTTTGTTTAGGCAACCTATTGCTACTTTGAATAAGATATTCGCCTCCTTTGAGATATTTCGCGAGCGTTCACAATTGATGTTTACACACCCGATGTTTGCGTTGCCGTTTTTTGGAACGCTTTGCATTTAAATGTTTTCTGTGGTACGCGTACGGTAAGACTGAATAAATAGTTCGTAACGGTCTTTTGTGGACTTCCTGTTTTCGGAATTTCGTTCACGAATTCACATTCACAGTGGAATTAAATTGCGAATTTAGATTTTTTTTATATCAAAAGCCCTCATGAATCAAGGTTATAATTTTAGATTAAAATTTTTAATTTATGCATAGATTAATAGTGACACTTTAGAAAATTCATTATTTTGTTACGTAAAAGAAACATTTTGCACCTTTTCCAAGCATATTGTGCGTACATAAGGATTGTGAATTGACTCCAAAGTTTAAAATAGAGACGGAGTGCAGAAACTTAATGTTTTTATACGAAAATGCAGCTGATAACATTAATTGACACAAACTACCATGCGCTTGATGCGCTTGTGGGGTCAAGGACAATCACTAAAAAGTATACTTTTTGAGAGAAGAACCATGAAGTTCGAATTTTGGCTAATGCGCGACCTCAGATTTCCAATTATTCTCTATAAAATCTACAATGGAAAGGATGGATATTATTTTACAAACATTCATCGAAAATCCAACGTTCCAACACCGCACAAACGCAGACTATTAAAAGTGCTTTCACCATTAATCTAATCTCTTATCTATTAGACAAGTCCGTCCGTCCGTGGTGCTGTTTCAGCGGTCAAACCGTAAGAGATAGATAAAGAGAATGTTTAAGTTATAAGTTGAGAATAGTCTGATAAGACTACAAACCGGATTTGAGTAACGTAGCACTTCCAGTTTTCGAGAAATCACGTGATTTCTATTTCAAACGAAACCACACAAAATCTCCGA